CGCGTAACCCTAATACTTATAAGCATACTACTTCTTAGGCTATAAATTCCTTAGGACGTGCAGTTCCATGCGCTAAATATTTAAATTAAATTTAGGGCGAATTAGTCTACCAGAACCTATTACTATATAGAGTTAGGCTTCTTTAACATATAGCCCCCTATGCTATAATATACACGGGATAATCGTTTAGCGTAAATATTAGATCCCTAATAAATTTAGGATCCTATTAATACCTGGGGCTAGGTGTCCATGCCACCCTAGGTTAGGAAGGACACCCTACTACTAATTAAATGAATGGACGACACTTAGACGTAATTAAGAGATTACTAGTAGAGTTGGCTATAAGTTATAAAATGGCTTACTACCCTAAAATTACTAACCTGGCGTACTTTAATGGGGACTGGAAGGACTACTAGTAGTTTAAGATAGTGATGAAATATAAGCTATCTAAAGATTAGGGTAGGGTAGGAAACGTCCCTAGATATATTATAAGTAGGTTAACTAGAAAGGCCATAATGGTAGGTCTAACGTACCTAAGTTATAACCTATAAGGGTTAGAAGAAGAGTTCTAGGAACTTCTTAATTTAAACTTCCTAGACTACTTAGTGGGAGAAATTGCGCGTAATTACCTTCTAATAATATAGTAAGGCTCCCGTAAGCTCTAGGACTTTAATATCGACTTTAATAACTATATAATGGAAGTAGGAGAAGTGAACGAGATGACCCTTAAGAATATTTATAGGCTGGCCCTATTAACTAAACTTCGCACCCTACTAGTAATAGTAGATATTAACTAGGACTGGTTAATGAAGTAGCTGCAAGAAAAGGTCTCTAGGATTAAAGAAAACTTATATTAAAGTAAAGCGCGTTAGCTAGATTAGATAATAAAGGAAAAGGGGGTAAATGAGATGGATTAGGAGCTAATAAAGGCTAGTGCTGGAAGAGCCTAGGCCTCCTAGAGTAAGGGCCGAAGGAAACCTCTAGGGCCCGAAAGGCTACCCAGACTAAGTGGGACCTAGTATAGGGTGAAATGGGTGTCTTTAGAAGAACTTAAGAGGCGTAAAGAGTAGAGGCTCTACTTCTATTATAGATAAAATAGCTACTAGGTAAATTACTATACACTTCTACTAGTAGAAAGACTAGTCCGTGTATAGCCAGCCTTAAACCTAGTAGATAGTAAGGTTAAAGGAGGGAGTGGAGAAGGAGAGATAACTAAAGAGTTAGAAAACTAGTGTTAAATCTAGAAGGGTAGCTAGTCCTAAAGGTTAGGGTTGGTTCTCGGGCAGGATAACTGAGGGGAAGGAAGGGGTTTTGTCGAAATGATAGTATTAGAGGAGGATATAATGAGTTAATAATATAGCCTGAGTGTAATCTAAACGATAGATTGATAAATAGGTTAAACACGAGTATAAAGGTTTATACTCGAGTTCCTATATATTTGCCTACTCGGCTGCTTAGGGCTCCTAAGTAGCTAAGTAGGTCACGTGACTACTATCTAAGTGGCTTGGCTACTCTTTGTCTCGTCGTAACCCTGCCACTATATCCTTATACCTTTATAAGCGCCCCGCCTTACCTCTCTATCCTTTAGTTTATAATATTATCCCCCTCCTTTCTATTCTTCGTCCCGAAGAATTATGCCTACTAACTATTATTCTACTAAGCGTCGTCGCGATCTTATTTTTATTATTAAGAATTATGGTGCCGTTATGGTATCTAAATATTCCTTCTATTAAGTGTACTCTCGTGTGTGCAAGGTCTATATTAGTTTGGGGAAGTATAGTAAATATTAGAGATAGGGGTTAAAATG